GAGGCCCCGTAAGGCAGAGGTCCTATGGGGTTGGGGCTCCATAGGGCTGGGCCAGTGAGGCTGGAACTCCGTGGGATCGGCGCCCTACTAGGTTGGGACTTAGCGTGGTCGAAATCTCAAAAAAATAGATCGAGATTTTCGTGGATTAAAACACTGTATTGCTTTTTTTTTCTCGAGTTTTTTTTGTGCTGTCTGCAGTTTCTTATCATTTGAGCTAAACTGACCGAAAAATTTCGTACAATAAATTTTTTATCAGTTCAGTCAATTATCTAAAAGGATGTGCCCAATTTTTTGTTCCAAAGATTGCGAAAATTTCATTACTTCAATAAAAATTACCAGCACTGGTTTATCTTTGCAAAAAATCATGGCTACACCATTAGCTTTCAAAATCTGCTTTTATCTCATTTCTGAGTTGCATTTTCACTGTTCTTTTTTTTTGTGATTTTCAGTAAGATCTAAGTTCCGCGAAAAATTTCTTCAGTGCAGGAGACAATGATGCTGTGGTGGAGTGAATCGCTGAATGATTTGTATGAAGCTTGGGAATATACGGTTTACAAATTTTATCAGTATGTTGTGATGCTAACAGTACTGATTGCGTACATGTCGATACTGATACTCAGATACTACCAAGAAATTCCGGTGTATCGAAAATTGCCAGAATCAAGAAGGCAGAGATCTGGGTCTGTTGAGCTCATCACAAGCCCGTTCAGCAACGGCAGAGGCTTTAGAAAAGCTAACTGTCCATTTGGAAGGAATGCAGCAATGAATTATGTTGATCGCCGTCGACAGGTTTGTCAAATCCAGAAGTCAGCTTAGTTTGTTCTGGATTTGCTTAACTGTTCCTTGTTTCAGATCGAATCGATTTGCTCTTACGCAACTGCATCTTGAATACTTCAGACCGGAAATACGGAACTGATCTTGCTAGCAAGTTCCAGTTTGGAGTTATTGTTTTCTACAATATTTTGAGTTTTGTTCGTGATTCTGATGTTGAAAAACAGGATTAAATTAGTGTGTGATAAAACACAGTTTTTGTAGAAAGCTTACAGGTTCAGTGCCGGAATTTCCTGGGTTATTTATGCGGGCCCTTTGGCATTATTTTGAGGAACAGCTGCATTCAGAGACGACAGTTACGTCTTCTTCGACCTCAAACTATCCTTCCCTTAATTTAACTCAGCCGCTGCGCACTTGCACTGTCTTCGAGGTTATCAAAATCCTGTTCCAGTCCTTGATATTCTCTACTACTGACAAGCAGTGATCGTCGGTTGCACCAAACAAGTAATAATGATTCTTCCTAAGCGCCTACTCCTGCGTGTGATGGATTTTAATTTTCTGAGCATAATGATTTCTAGTCTCTCCTAAAGCGCTTCATTTTCCAACTAATCACCGAGGAAATATGATGAATAGCTTAGCATCCAAGTAGCGCTTGTGAACTTAACTTTGCTGTCAAGAACTGTTTATTGCTTCACAGTTTGTTATGTGCATTATTTTGATGTTCTGATCATTTTTTTAAAGAATAGCAACGATCCTGCACTCAAAAATTTCACATGTTTGCCACGACGCATCGGCGTATAGGAGTTTTCAGTGTGTGTTACTAGGCATTTAATTGACCAGAAGACAGTAGAGGACATATTTTTTGAGTTTCACGTTTGAAAATATAAGCTTTCCAGCCTTTCTGGTTCCCAAAATAAAAGAAAATCATGCCAAAACTCATAATAATACATTAAAATTTCTTTTATTTTGTTATTTATTTAATTTGGTTTCCCTTCAGTGTGTTTGGCACTCACGTACCGTTTCGTGAAAATTTTTGGCGCAAAGATGGCTAACTCGGGAACCAGGAAAGCCGGAAGGCTGAAATTTTCAGGAAATGTTTCCAGCCAAGTACACTTAAGTTTATCAAACACAACCTTCGGGCGTTCGTGATT